ATACAGGCTTGTTGTCACTAGTTTCACTCTAAAATACGATATGTTACCAAAGTCTTTTTACATTGACGGTAACTTTACGTCACCGGTTTGACCAGTGTCAGTGAGTTCTTCTCAAGTTCTGGACCTTTTTCATTTTACGACTCGATCAGTTTTGCGATCACCTGATGAAAGAGTCTGTCGCTCGTTTAGCACTCTTTGTGGTTTCATTCGTCTGAACTTCTTCAATGATTTCACCGATTACCGTAGCTTGCTTTGGTAACCTCGCCTCCAGACTTACCATCTTCCCTCGTAATTACAGCCCACGTCGTCAGTTAGCCCAGACTGTGTTATAATTGCCCATGTCGTTTGGTAATTAAGCTAGCAGGCATAATTTAGGTTGTCCCCGTGGGTGACGGTGGTCCGCTTGTTGTCTATTTATCGTACGCCCTCCGTAAACCTCTTTCCGTGTAATGAGGTGCGCTAACTGCCCTTGTTAAGATGCATTTTATAGCCACGTTAGTCATACTGTGTTGTTTTGAAACGCTGAGCAAAATCATCACTGGACTAAGTCGTTAATTAAGCCATTATACTGAGCCGAACTCAACGTTTTTTTTATTTTTCTGTCATCTTTTGTGGACACTGAGGAATATAAAAAGAAAAGTGCACCCGAGTTCATCCAAAAATGAACATTTGCTGAAAATGTATTCACCCTCAGGCCATCCAGGATGTAGGTGAGTTTGTTTCTTCATCAGATATGGAGAAATGTAGCATTACATCACTTGCTCACCAATGGATCCTCTGCAGTGAATGGGTGCCGTCAGAATGAGAGTTTGGACTCATGGCACCCATTCACTGCAGAGGATTAATTGGTGAACAAGTGATATATTTCTCCAAATCTGTTCTGATGAAGAAAAAAACTCAACTGCATCTTGAATGACCTGAGGGTGAATACATTTTTGGTTGAACTATTCCTTTTATAATCTCTTTTTGTCAAGCCGGTCATTATAACCACATAAAACTTTCACTTTGAAGACTTTCTATAGCTGTTGTATTGGACTAATCAGTTCTTGTCCTAAATGATTGATTTTACAGAGCGACTGATTGATGGGTTTTGTCCGTCTCAGTACAGCGTGGCATGCAAGTGTCTCCTTTTGTTTCGCAGATATTATTCATGAACAAGATTGATCTTTTCCAAGAGAAGATTCTCCACTCCGGGCGTCATCTGCGGCATCACCTTCCCCAGTTCAGAGGTGAGAGACGGATCTGTGATTACACATGAATCATGTTTACGTTCTCTGCAGACTCTTGAAAGAAAGTGTATCATTTACTTCAGTTGGCAAGCATTTCTTCTACTGCTCCTAAATAATATTCATTCTTTCTTTATTTGCGTTGTTCACTTTGATTTAGTTGTTTGTTTCATTTATATGCTTTTTTTCTTTTGTTCTTTCATTTGTTCTCATGCTTTTAGACATCCATTCATTTTAAACATTTGTTTGGTTCATTAATTCTTTGTCATTTTTGTTCTCTTTTCAGTTCTTTGTTCTTTTTTCATTAATTTGTTCTTTTGCTTTTGTTTGTTAGATTGTTCTTTCTTCCATTCCTTTGTTCTTTTGTTTGAGTTTGTCATTTTCTTTTGTTTGTTCATTTTGTTTTTCCAATTTATTCTTTCATTATTTGTTTGTTCATACTTTTTAGTCATTTGTCTTTTTCTTTTTAGTTCAGTCTGTCATTTGTTTGTTCTTGTTTTTTCACTCTTTCTTTTGTTCATTTGTTTGTTTATTCTCTTTCATTGTTCATTTTCTATGTTCTTTTGTTTGTTGGTTTCAGTTGTTTTCTCCATTTTATTCATTTGTTTGTTCATTTGCATTCATTTGTTCTTTCTTTTGTTCCTTTCTTCTAGTGTTGTTTTTTTAATTCTTGATCATTTTTTTCTTTTCCCAGCTTGTTCTTGCTTTTCTTCTATTTATTTGTTTGTTTTTATTCTTTTTTTATTTGTTTGTTTGTTCTCTGCTTTATTCATTTAGTTTTTCTCTTTTTTCATTTATTCATTTGTTTTTGCTCTTTGTTTGTTCTGTCCTTTACTCATATTTTGTTTGTTTTTTCACTTCTTTTTTTTCATTTAAGTCATTTAATTTTTCCATCTATTCTATTTTGTTTGTTCATTTTCGTTTTCCAACTTATTCACGTTTGTTCATTCTTTTTTGTTGATTTTTTTTTCTTTTAGTCACTTGTTTGATTTCCTTCTGTTAGTTCTCCTTTCCTTTTTGTTTATTTTTAATTTATTTGTCCATTTTTATTTTGTTCTTTTATTTGTTATTGTTCATTTGCTTTTTTTATTTTCTGTTCTCTTCTCTCCTGTTTGTTTCATTCATTTATATGCCATTTCATTATTTTGGTTGTTTGTAGTCATAGTCTTTTAGTCTTCTTTCTTTCTTTCTTTCTTTCTTTCTTTCTTTCTTTCTTTTGGTTGTTTGTCTTTTAGTCTTGTTCTTTCTTTCTTTCTTTCTTTCTTTCTTTTTCTACTGCTTTCAGACCTTTCAGACAAAGGATTGATATAAATAATCCAATATGACAGTAAAGACGTTTCCAGATATCAAATATTTTGAGGTCACCGTATGCATTTCTTCCAGGTATCTTTATGGTGAACCAGTGAAAGGTGTTGCATATGTGCTGTTTGGTATTGAAATTGATGGTGAAAAGAAGAGACTCACATCTATGAAGCAACTAAATGATGTAAGTTGTTAAACAAGAAAAAAACATTAGTTTAAGTACCTTAAATCAGCTTTATAGTGCAAGACTCTTGTTACTCCATGTTTTATTTTACAGCTGAATGGAGGACATGTTAGTTTGACTTTGGAAGAGATAAAGAAGGCCTATCTTGACACAAATAGCTTACTGGGGTCTTCTGTGTACGTCAAAGCATCAGTAATGACCAGCTCAGGTGGGAAAATCATTGAAAAACAACTTAAAACCACTCACAATCCAATAGCAACTGCATAGCAACCCCTTGGCAACCACTCCAAACTCTTTAGTATGATTATTCTGAGTTTTTGTTTTGAAAAAACAACAAAAACTCTGTCTCCTTTCTTCTCCTCAGGTAGCGACCTTGTGGAAGCAGAGAAATCTGGTATTAAAATTGTAATGTCACCCTACATGCTCTCCATCAGAGACACACCAAAGTATTTCAAACCTGGCCTGCCATTAGCCATGACGGTAATTTTCATTTCTGTTGCGACAATTACTGCTTGAAGACACAAAGTTCACCCTTAATGTTGTTTTAAACCTTTTTGTCTTCATTTGCAGAACAGAAATGGAGAAATTTCCTAGCTGCTCTTTTCCATAAAATTAAAGTGAATGGTGACCACAGGTTGTCAATCACTAAAACAGGAATCTCCAAACTCGGTCCTGGTGGGTCGGTGTCCTGCAGGTTTCCTCAACACACCTGCCTGGAAGTTTCTAGCATGCCTAGTAAGACCTTGATTAGCTGGTTCAGGTGTGTTTAATTAGGGTTGGAGCTAAATTCTGCAGGACACAGGCCCTCCAGAACCGAGTTTGGAGACCCATGCCCTAAAAGGACAGTGTTCTTTTAATTTCATTTATATAGTGTAATAGAATTTATTAATATTTTCATTTTAAGGCTAGAAAAATTGCCATCATCTTAAAGTGGTTGATGTGCAAGCATTGCTCCTGGTTTGACCAGGAGCCGAACGCCAGTCTGTCCTCGTATAGTGCCCACAACCCGAGTTGGAGGCACCTGTCATGACCACCTTCCTTCTGGAGGTCAGTCCCAATGGGATGCCTGACTGAAACAGGCGAAAGTTTTTCCAAGGGGCCACAGTTCTGAAGCAGCGGTGGGTAACCCTGAAATGAAAACATAACAGTCGCCAAACAAGGGAACAGTACATGGCCTTGGAGCCAATATTGGAGGGGCCGCATGTGAAGCAGGCCCAGAGGAATCACAGAGGATGCGGCAAGCATCCTCTGGAAAACTCTTGAGGGGACGTGAAGTCCCAAGTTTGAATGACGTCGCTAGCCGCTGAATTGTCAGGGAGTGTTCCGGTATAATCCATGCCCACATCTGGGCTGAATCGATAACTGTCCCCAGAAAGACAACTCACTGGATTTTTAATAGATTTTTGGCCCAAGCTGCTCCAGGTGGCTGAGCAGCAGCGACCTGTGAGCAATGAGTTCCTCTTCTGATCTGGCTAGTGTTGTCAAAAGACCCGGTACTTCGGTACCAAGTCTGTACTAAAAAAATGAAAACGTTACGGTACCAGGTTTTTTAAAGTACCGGTGGTACCGAGTACCTGGTCAACCCAGTTCTTGATGCGCTATCCGAAAGGTGCGCAGATGCGCTCTCTTCATAAAAGCACTGAGACATGGCGACCTCAAAATGAGGAAACACATCAAACTAACAAAACACTTTAAAGACAGACACCTGGATCAAATGAAAGAGTTCAAGCAGGTAAGTTTCATTTTAATTTTTAATATTTGTGTTTCCCATACATTGATTTATTTGTGGCGGCCCGCCACAATATCAAAACTCACCGCCACAACCAGCTTGTTCTTGCTTTTCTTCTATTTATTTGTTTGTTTTTATTCTTTTTTTATTTGTTTGTTTGTTCTCTGCTTTATTCATTTAGTTTTTCTCTTTTTTCATTTATTCATTTGTTTTTGCTCTTTGTTTGTTCTGTCCTTTACTCATATTTTGTTTGTTTTTTCACTTCTTTTTTTTCATTTAAGTCATTTAATTTTTCCATCTATTCTATTTTGTTTGTTCATTTTCGTTTTCCAACTTATTCACGTTTGTTCATTCTTTTTTGTTGATTTTTTTTTCTTTTAGTCACTTGTTTGATTTCCTTCTGTTAGTTCTCCTTTCCTTTTTGTTTATTTTTAATTTATTTGTCCATTTTTATTTTGTTCTTTTATTTGTTATTGTTCATTTGCTTTTTTTATTTTCTGTTCTCTTCTCTCCTGTTTGTTTCATTCATTTATATGCTATTTCATTATTTTGGTTGTTTGTAGTCATAATCTTTTAGTCTTGTTCTTTCTTTCTTTCTTTCTTTCTTTCTTTTTCTACTGCTTTCAGACATCCTGTAGCACTGTCCTTCCATTAAGACTGAATCCACCGTGTCGGCTTGAGTTTGTAGTTTGGCCGTTTAATCAGCTGGAATGGATCCCGTAGTTTTTACCTCAGGGAGAAAAGGTCAAGACGGACAAGGCTGGAAATTTCTCGCATGATATTGTCTTCTCTCCCCTCCTCCCGCTCCCTCCCTGACACTTGTATATGACAAAGTTAATCCCCCTTCAGATAGATTACAATAAAACCTTTTCACAACTACATTTCACCTGTTAATTCAGACAGACCCAGAAATGTATGGAGGATGAAACCTATGGAGGACGAAACCTGCAAAAACAATAAATACACAAATAAATAAATAAATATGCAAATAAATACATAAATGTCTGTATAAATACACAAATTCTTGTTTAAATACATATAGAAATAATTAAACGTGATTAAAGTAGGCAAATAAATAAAATAAATTAGTGAACAAATGGAAAATGTTTAAGGAAATGCTAAACTCATCCTATTTATTTTCCTTTGATCACTCATTTATTTCTGAATGTAGTTCCACATTTATTTTTCCTCTGCACAACATGCTAATGAGAGGGTGTCAACCATGGACTTGGGGAGGGTCATGTCATAGCTGGGGGCGCGGCTTTCCCGCTGACAGGAGATGCATGGTGTAAATCCAGTATGGCCTACGTAAAGTCACTATTTCTGTTTAACAGAGCAAGATACATAAAAAAAACTGAGCTGTATTGTCCGTACAGTATCTGTGACTTTACAAACGACCCAAAGAAATGGCCAGTGTTGTTTCTTGACGTCATTTTTTGTAACCCGATTGAGTCTCTAGCTAGAGACAACTGTAATATCAGTATCCCATGGTCATCGTGAGATGACTGGTATGAAGTGGTTTAATCGAGGAACAGACAGTTTTTTCCCATTAGTTATCAGAACAGAAAATACAGGTGACAAAAGTATGTTTATTAAGCAAATAACGGTTCAGTATTGCAATTAAGAGCTATGTAAGCATTAATATTTTACACTGGCCACTTAAAATCTTTTATGATTTAACACTCTCATGATTATAACTACAAAACTAACCCTATGAAAACGTGTAAGATAATAATCAGTCCCCTTGACTGATGAAGTTAATATGCATGCGCAGGCAAACGCTCAAGCGCGTCACACACGATCCGCCTACTCTTGCATAATTGACACCCTCTCATTAGCATGTTGCGCAGAGGGGAAAAAAATGTGGAACTACATTTAGAAATAAATGAGTGATCAAAGGAAAATAGTTAGGATGAGTTTAGCATTTCCTTAAACATTTTCCATTTGGCCACCAATTTATTTTATTTATTTGCCTACTTTCATCACGTTTAATTATTTATTTCTGTATTTAAACAAGAATACGTGTATTTATGCACACATCACACATTTAATTTGTGTATTTATTTATTTATTGTTTTTGCAGGTTTCGTCCTCCATAGAAATGCATGCATCATGCAAATGTCAATTTAGCATTGGAGCTTTAGAGATTGATCCCATTCATCAATCCTGCCGTTTGGAGCAGATCTCGTCAGATATTCATAGACTCTCACTTTTTTTTGCTCTCTCTCTTTTTTTTTTTTTTGTGGGGAACACTTCAATTACTTTCACTTCGCCTGTCTTCTCTCGGATGTACAGGGTTTCCTGGTAATGCATAATTAATCATTGATAAATTCATATGTTTTTGAAGCAATCTCCTGTTTTGTTTTTCAAACCAGTGGTTATTGAACTAAATTCATGTTGATATATGTTTTGAAACTGTTGATTTATAGCTTAATTATTCAATATAGAAAATACTTTTGCACCCATGCAAAGGAAAATATTGATATTTCACCTTCTCTGATGTATATATAATGCATTAATTGTAATGCATTCATAGTGTCTTATGATACAGCCTATAATTATTATTTTTTCATACAAATGCATATTTTTACATAAATCTTTTATATATCCAAATAGTAATATAATTAATATAAATTAATACTTTTATTCAGCATGAACACATTAAATTGATCAAAAGTGACCGTAAAATTATTTTTATATAGAAAAAAATTTCTATTTCAAATGAATGCTGTTCTTTTGAACTTTTTATTCATCAAAGAATGCTGAGCAAAAATGTATCACAGTTTTCACAAAATATTAAGCAGGAAAAACTGTTTTTAACACTGATAATAATAAGAAATGTTTCTTGAGCAGCAAATCAGCATATTAAAATGATATCTGAAGGATCGGGAGACACCGAAGACTGGAGTAATGATGCTGAAAATTCAGCTTTGCATCACAGAAATAAATACATTTTAAAACATATTCAAAATAGAAAACAGTTATTTTCAGCTGTGATAATATTGAACTATTTTTACAGTATCAAATAAAGACACTTCTTTCACAAACATCTCCCTGTGTTTTTGTTCACAGGAGCTGACTGTGACGTGGATGCTGCCGCCCGGTTCATCGCCTCAATGTTTGTGTCTCTCAACACGATGCCCAGCAAACTCATCTACCACCACTTCACCACAGCGACCGACACCTCTAACGTACAGGTAGTTTTCCAGGTCGTCATGGACACCATCATCAAGGAGAACCTGGAGGCCGTGTCTCTGCTCTGAGAACCCTTCCTCCTTTAAAAACTCAATAAAGACTCACGGATGAGCCCTTCACAATGCTGATGGTATTTATTGTATATGATGCTCTGATATTAATCAGAATGCACACTTTTCATGAAGCAATAACTGAATAAATGCCAGTTTATTTTTTTTCTTGCTTATATAAAATATCTACTAAAAATGCAATAATCAACCCATACGAATCACATATTATGCTTTGGAAGTGTATAATATGTATTTAAAGAGTAAATTATGCTGTCCTTTGAGTGGTTGAGTTGCTTGTCCAAGCATCCCATAATTTTCCACCTGACATCCCCCACTTCCTGTGTGTACGTTACCATGGCTAATCATCACTTATAAAATAACCTTTTCCCCTTGTGTAAATCTTTGCCCAACACAGTCCATTCAGAGATTGAACACCCTGTCAGGGTCCAGTGTGTTGTTTTTGAGTTTTTTTGTGGTATGAATCATCTTTTGCTTTTGACTTATTTGTGATCCAGCACTTTTATAGTTGTTGAGTCTTGGTGAGTCAATCTGAAATGGTTTTATTTTACCAAGGTGAGCCAAACGCGCACACACACATCTATATGAAGCATAATCATACCTGTAGCAAATTTTTTGTAAATCCATTTGAAATAATGTTGCTTTACCCATTTATTCATTTAGTGAGATTTAGTTGATATAAAATGTATCTTTGCTATTTAAATGCTGTATGTTGCGCCACTTTTCGTGGTAAATTCAAGTTACTCTTTTGTAAATGCAAAAAAACCCACTGTGAATAGAAACATCATTAAAACCTAACATTAATGTTTTTGATATTTTGTTTTGTGCTGATTTCTCACACAGTGAATGGTATGAAACAAATCACGCCAGCCCAAATGCACAACACAAGCGTACACAGAATGAATGTAATATCTTTCAAGTTTAATAAAATAAAGAAAACATCTTTGAAAGTTTTTGCTCATAACAGTGAACTCTTTTTATGAACATTTAATACATCTGGAAGTAGGTACAGGTGACGGGTGGGCGCAGAGAAGAACAGATCGAACAGAAAATACCTCTCCGTTTTGTTTCTGTGGATTTCCTATTTTTCCTTTTACAAATTTAAAGCAGCGAACTTCACATTGTGTGAACCAGGGGTGCTCAGAACTGCTCTCCAAGATCTATTTTCCTGCAAAATATAGCTAAAACTACGTGTGTTCACACTAGAAGTGACTTGAATTCGGTTTGACTTCACTTTGCTAGATACTAAACTAAAAGCAGTCTCTTTACTGTAGCCTACATTTTATGTCTTGATGACCAAATTTAATTTTAAGAAGAATAAGGGGTTTTTGTGTATCACAAAACCATGTCCAACTTATTTTTAATTTATGTAAGAGCGGGCGCGGCCATTATGTAACTTGAATGTGCCAGACTTCCGATTATTTTTAGCGGCTCGTTATGCTGCTTGATATTGCAAACTTGCTTATATTATCATATTATTTTAATGCCGTGTCGTAATTATAAACATACTGGTTTGTAGCGCAAATAGTTTTACTGTTTACTTCACCTTTAAAAAAATAAATAAATCTTCCCGTTCCCGCTGTTTACCTATAGCGAATGAATCGAATCTCTCGCTCATTCACATAACTTTCGCTGCTGCGAAATAAGGTGGATGGATTTATAATATCACTCGAAATGAAAATGATTATTATTGGTACATAACTAAACTTTGCTGGAAAGTATATCTTCAGGAGCAGCGCTGAACATCCCTGGTGTAAATCAAGTAAACATTCAATGTCTACAGCGCGCCTCACTGCCTTGGCTGTACATACTCCTGAAATGGAAGAGACTTTGGGTCGGGGAGGGAGAGAGACGGGTTCCGCTCAGGGGGTGAAGCAGTCCAGCGAATCGAGCGACAGAAACACGTCTGCTTTGCACCGAAACGTACTTGAACCGTCCTGAACCAGCTCGCAGCTCTGTAGGTTTGGAGAAATGTCCTTTACGCAGATGGCCTGAGGGGAAAAACGGCACGGTAAACGTTAATCGAAGTTATGGTTCTGATGCCTGAATTGACGTTTACGTCGTTCTTACTTTTTTTTTCTCCAAAAAATAATAAAAAAAAACAGATCAGGCGTCAAAGAAAAAGATATTGTCTACATTAAATCTGACTCTCTGCATGTATATGTATATGTATATATGTATATGTATGCATGCTATAATAGTTATCAACCAAGTCATTTCATGATTTCAGAGGATGCTGAAAGCAACCAAATTATAAATTTTTATAGGTTTTAATGTTTAAACATCCTTTTCATTTGTAAGACGATTTTAGAATCTGGAAACATGAAAGAATTCAAAAAAAAAAACATTTAGGTTTTTTTTCTTGCTTTTGTAGGCCGATTGTTAATATATGTTAATGTACATTCAAACATATATAGAACATTTGAATATACATTAATGTAATTCATATGTTTCTGAAATGTTCTGAATATATGTTCATATTTGAATACTCATCAAGTATGATTTGTATTGCATTGTAAATTTGTCGTTAGTAATTTATGTAAAAAGTTATGTAACTATAAAGAAAAATCATGTTTTTTAAGTTCACATATATATATTTCTAATTGAATACTGAGTAACTTCTGCTCAGTTTTAAATTAAAATGTAAAATTTAGAATTTTATAAAATATTTAGAATTTATTTAAATATTTTTTATAAACTTTGAAATAAAATAACATTTAAATAAAGTGTATATATAGCCTATGCTTTTCATCAAATATAATAGAATTTACCATGTTTTTAAGAACTGGAGTTTGTCTGCTGCTGAAGTCGGGCATCACGCTGTTGGAGACGCCGGGGGTCTCGCTGCTGTCCAGCGCTGATTCTGTCTCAGATCTGCGCACATACGGCGACCTCCGGATCCCGGACAGCAAACCCGAGGCTCTCCCGACGGAATAGTAGCTCGGCCCGGTGGACTGCTTGTACCAGGCGTCTGTAGGATGGCTGGAGATGAGGATGGAAACAGCCACGAACGCCAGCACGGATCTGACGGACCTCTCCATTGCGCACTGGACCCAAACGCGTGTGTTGTGGTCTATGATGCCTCGTAGCTTTTGGATTGATGTTCTGCACATCTGGAGTTTATATATACCCCTCGGAGTCGTGATCTCGTTCGTCATTCCCCACTAGATGATTCATATTTCCGGCCAATAGGATTGATTTGCGCGACTTTGCGCGTTTGGAGACGGCTGGGGAACATTTAACGTCAGGTGGATGTGATGTGTGACGGGTTAATATTGTTTCTCTGTCACCGAACCTGTCTATATTGATCAATAAACGTCTTTCTGGCGTCACAGCGCAAATTAGAAAAGAGAAAATCACGTGCGTAAAGACGCACATACGCCTGAACCAATGTAACAATATTTTAAATAATTGCTATATGAAATCTAAGTGCGTAGTACCTTAAAATTAAGTCTCATTAATAAGTGATTTAAAATATTGATTTATTGACTTCTCTGTAATTGCACATTTGGATAAACGTCACACGGTTTAACCAGGTTGACAGATTTCTAAATCATTTAAATGAGAGAGCACTTTCAATATAGTAATTCAAACAGCCATAACAAACTTGAGTTTATAATAAAAACAATAAAATGCAAAAATATTTTGAAATCTAGTTTCTTAGGTATCTGAGATGACATTTAAGTAAGCCAAAAAGTAGTTTATTATTATCACTATTATCATTAAAATATTAGTATTATTCGATAGTTATTTGTAATAAAACAATAATGCAAAATGTAAATACAACAATGTAATTTTGAAATGACAGCCAAAAAGTAATGCATATAATAATAATATTTACAATTAATATTTAAAATTATACAAAAATGAAATTTTGATATGTTGTTCCTTAGGTATTTGAGATGACATGTATAAAATATATATTAAAATTATAATATGATAAAGTTAATTGATTGACAATCTCTCAGAAATGAAACTAGGAAGGCAGAGGACATGTATATGGAGTCTATGGTAATGAAAACACAGTGTCAAATCCAATATGATCAAATATTTTCAAATAAAGAGGTAATATAAAAAAAAAGAGATATAAAAAAAGAGATGCGATAATTTTGACTTTTGCTATTTCAAATGTTTATTAACATTTTCAATATAAAAATACAAATATAATCTTTCAGTTCTCATATTAAACCATTTAAACCAAGGGTGTCAAACTCAGTTCCTGAAGGGCCGGAGCCCGGCAGAGTTTAGATTCAACCCTAATTAAACACACCTGATCCAACTAATCAAGTCATTCAGGCTTATTTGAAAACTATATGGTATGAGTGTTGGAGCAGGGTTAGAACAAAACTCTGCAGGGCTCCGACCCTTCAGGAATTGAGTTTGACACCCCTGATTTAAACAGTTTTCTCTCAGATTTTAGGCACTCATAGTCCATTGTACAGTGGTCGGCACTGCGGTTCCAGCTTGGTCTCGAGGACCGCATCCGGCTCACACACCCACGGATCGTCTGTTTGCCACTGCCACTTCAGCAGCTGATCCCCCAGGCTCTTCAGAACCGGGGTGTAGGCCGGATCACCAGCTAGGTTCCACCTCTCCGTCGGATCTGACTGGATGTCAAACAGCTCCCACCTCTCCCGGTAGTAATACTCCTTTAGGGTCTTAAACCAGCCTGTGGGCTGGCCTGACTGAGTCCGGTTTAACAGATCCTGGAAGGTAGGGGACACGTAGAAGTCCTGGTCTATAGGGAAGGGCATGCGGTAGTGCATGTTGTGCAGGAGGCGGTAGCGGCCCTGGTGGATGGAGCGCATTGGGTAAAACATAGTGACCTCGTGGAGACTCTGGCTGGCATAGACGGTGACCCAGGACGGTTCTGAGATCAGGGCTGGGAGAAGAGACTGACCTGTCAACACAACCGGACGAGCCCCTGAGAGACTGTATGATGGATATGGCAAAGAAAACCAGTCCAGTATGGTGGGAGTGATGTCTGGGAAAAAAGTGAGAGATGCTGTTTTACAGTGTCATACAATTAACGCACAAGTTAATTGTTAAAAATCGAAAATGTTGTCACATTGCCAATAATCTGTGAGTAAATAGAAAGATATGGCCTTAAACACAGAATCAAGTGCAAAAAGGTGCAATAATACGGGACGCCATTTTTAAATATCGTACGAACAACTTGCAATTCATACAAATATAAAATGTTACACTGGCAATAATTGGAGCAAAAAATGAAAATGTGAGCTTAAACACAGAATCTAGAATGAAAATGTGCAATAATGAGGGATGCCATTTTATAATATCGTACGAACAACTTGTGATTCATAAAAATAGAAAAAGAAAGTTATTATATTGACAATAATCTGTCAGTAAATAAAAAGATATGGCCTTAAACAGAATCAATTGCGAAAACGTGTAATAGTGAGGGACGCCATTTTTTAATGTTGTACAAATAACTTGCGATTTGTACAAATATAAAATGTTACACTGGTAATAATTTATGTAAATACAAAAATGTGACCTTAAACAGAATCTAGCATGAAAATGTGCGATAGCCATTTCGTAATATTGTATGAACAACTTGTGATTCATAGAAAAGGAAATTGTTATACACATATGCTATGCAATTTGTCGTACAGTAGAAATATATCTGTGCAATTATCTAGACTTGAAACACAGAAACGAGTGCAATAAGGTGTAATAGTGAGATGCAGTTTTTTCTAAATTTGTACAAAAAACTTGATATAGAGAAATAAATTGTTGTACACAGACACTATGTTGGTAACAATGTCACTGGCAATAATTTGAGTAAATATAAAAATGTGACCTTAAACATAGAATCTAGCACAAAAATGTGCAATAATGAGGAATGCCATTTCATAATATCGTATGAAGATGTGAAAATATAAAAAAATGGTGTACAAAAATGTGACCTTAAACACAGAATCTAGCATGAAAATGTGCGATAGCCATTTCGTAATATTGTATGAACAACTTGCGATTCATAGAAAAGGAAATTGTTATACACATATGCTATGCAATTTGTCGTACAGTAGAAATATATCTGTGCAATTATCTAGACTTGAAACACAGAAACGAGTGCAATAAGGTGTAATAGTGAGATGCAGTTTTTTCTAAATTTGTACAAAAAACTTGATATAGAGAAATAAATTGTTGTACACAGACACTATGTTGGTAACAATGTCACTGGCAATAATTTGAGTAAATATAAAAATGTGACCTTAAACATAGAATCTAGCACAAAAATGTGCAATAATGAGGAATGCCATTTCATAATATCGTATGAAGATGTGAAAATATAAAAAAATGGTGTTACATAGGCATTAATCTGTCAGTAAATAGAAAGATATGGGCTTAAACACAGAATCAAGTATGAAAATGTGCAATAGTGAGGGATGCCATTTTTTTAATACTGTATGAACAATTTGTGATTCGTACAAATATAAAATGTTACACTGGCAATAATTTATATAAAAATGTGCCTTTAAACAGAATCTAGTGCGAAAAGGTGCAATAACGAGGGATGCCATTTCATATTATCGTATGAACAACTTGTGATTTGTAAAAACATAAAATGTTACATTGGTAAAAATTTGAGTAAATATAAAAATGGGACTTCAAACAAAGAATCTAGTACAAAAAGGTACAATAATGAGGGATGCCATTTTTTATATTGTATAAACAATTTAAATTTTGCTAAATTGGCAATAATTTGTCAGGAAACAAAAATCTGTATGGAAAACTTGCTATTCATAGAAAAGGAATTCATCATTCAGTAGAAATATATTATTTTCTAGACTCGAAAAACAGAAATGACAGCAAAATGGTGTAATAGTGAGATGTAGTTTTTCTAAATTGTACAAAAAACTTGCTATTCGTAGAAAAAACAATTGTCGTACACATACACTATGTTGGTAATAATCCCATTGGCAATAATTTAAGTAAATAAAACAATGTGACCTTAAACAGAATCTAGCACAAAAATGTGCAATAATGAGGGATGCCATTTCATAATATCGTATGAAGATGTGAAAATATAAAAAAATGGTGTTACATAGGCATTAATCTGTCAGTAAATTCCCCATTCCGCTCTCTCCATTCCCAAACTTTTCACAGAACATTCCATACTGAGGCTGGGAATGGCCGCAACGGTGAGGATCATGGAATGCCACGTAGAGAAAGAACGGCCGTTCCTCTTCCATCTCACTACTCTCCTCTTTCTGGCTTTGGAAGAACTTCCGGACAAGGAGCTTGATCTTGGTGATATTCCGACCCACCTGAAGAACGGAATTGGTCTCTTCAGTGTAGGCGAAATCAAACGGGTATACAGGGCATGGACCCACGTGTTTTTTCCCAATGATACCTTTCCCAAAAAAAGCAATCATGAATTCAGTATAACTCCAAAATTTTCCAAGTTTTACTAGTTCATGCTTTGAGTGTTCAGTAACAAATCATAAGCTGGTTTTCTCTCAATACTGGATTTCTGCATGTGTCAAACGTGTCAAAAAGTTTTCAAAATTTGTATGAAACTTTACATTTCGTAGAAAAATAAATTGACGTAATCATACGCATCTGTCATTTGGTAGAAAGATAGTTGCATTATTATCAGGACTCAAAACAGAAACAATCCCAAAAGTCATAATAGTTGGATGCTACTTATATATATATACAGTGGGTACGGAAAGTATTCAGACCCCCTTCAATTTTTCACTCTTTGTTATATTGCAGCCATTTGCTAAAATCTAAAATAGAAATAAGCACAAAAAAGTGCAGTTTTGAGCCGCTTTTTACTATGATACAAAAACACTTACTAAAAAACAAATTGTTGCGAAAAATGTGTTATACTGATACAAATTTGTATTTCAGGAGAAAGTTCTTCTATCATCTGACCTAAAATACATAAATGAGCCACAAAATGTGTGTGAGGCAGATTTTTGTTTTAGAGTCTTAAAAATAACTGGCTTTTCTTCATACAAATCTACATACAGATATGATACATTGGTACACATCAGTCACTACAGAAAAACAAACAAAAAAAAAAACAACAGTTGTCCTGTCATGTCCTATCATCTGGCCTTGAACACAAAAACAAATGTTAAAGACTTTAGTTTTTTTTCAGTCGTATGAATTATTTGCTACACTACACTGGCACAAATCTGTCATTCAGTAGAGTTTTTCTGTTATCTGGCTTCAAACACAGAAACGTGCATTAACATGAAAATTAATATTTTAAGCATAGTTTTATTCACAGTTTAATAGATCTTCATCGTACCTGTGCGAATGTTGGCTTGTTTCAGAAGAAGAGGAAGACTCTGCACTCCATCAAATGAGTTAAAGTGATGAACTCCCTGATGGAGGCCGTACATCCCATTCTGGTGCTGTTGATCAGAAAGACAGTTCAAGGCAAGTTTATCCAATGGTCAAGGCTAAAATGGAGACTTTTACCTTCTGGTTACCTGTGGTAGTCCAGTCAGGATGGTGGAACGACTGGGTGAGCAGCTGCTGACGGAGGTGAAGGCGTTCTCGAAGATCACACTGCGCTCAGAAAGAGCCCGGAGATGAGGGGTCTGGACCACAGTGTTGTTGTAGACATCCGTTTCGAACCCACCATCATCAGCTGTTGTACAACAGAACATAGACACAACATTAATACAACATAACAATACAAGCATCAAAACAACATCAATCTAACATAACAATACAAACATCAAAACAACCTTTAATACAACATAACAGCAATACAAACAAAACAACGTAAAAACAACAGAACACAAACAAAAAAACAACATAAATACAAGATAACAACAACACAGACATAACTGTATAAATTAGTTATTTTGTCAAATCAGTATTTACAAAAACCCATGATTGTGTTTTACTACACACCAATGATGAGAAGCACATTTCTTCTTCTGCACTCTCCTATATCACAACAAACCAGAAGACACAACAAAGTCCACGCGAACAGAAACGACATTTTAGTGTCATTTGCCTCCAGAAATGTTACTAGAGCAAATGGAAAAGTCTTCACTTTGTTTACACTCAGCGAGACAAACTTCCGCCCTGTGAATCCATCACATGACCGCGATCAGCTGACATGAAGCCTCAGCCAATCGCGTCGCGCGTCGCCGCTGACGCCACCAAGGGGCTGTTGTTCAGTTTTCTGTCAAACAAACCGCGATACACGCCAGAGTCGCTTTGATTGCTCAAATGTTTCATTGTATATGTGTGTTTTGATGTAAATAAAAAGATTACTGCAGCGGAATGTTTGAACTCCGATGAAGCGCGAGGCTCAAAGGCATCTTTGAGGTTTGATCTTTAACTTGATTTCACATTGTGCCTCTTAACATTGATCTTAACTTTCAGTTTGGTTTGTAAATACGATTATCTAACTGATATTATTATTATTATTATTATTATTATTATTATTTAGTATGTTTTTTTAAATTTGCATTGCACTGGGTACTTAGATCATGAGATCCTTTTAAAATGTCACGATTCATGTCAAAACTCTTACCAAATCAGATTTAACTGTATTTTTAGGCCCATTTGCGATGTTTGATTACTTTCTTTCGTCCATTTTAGTTATTCTTTAAGAGTGTTTTTCTTTGCATTTTACATTTTGGATCTTGTTACTGTAATGCAAAAAATAAAATCAATAAAATCTTGTTACTTGAATACAAAACATAAATAAAACAGCATGTAATAATGCATTATTGGTAATAGCAATATATTTATGCTAGAATTTGACATTTTATTAATTTTTAAGGGTATTTTTACGGCCATTACGAATTTCTTTCTTTGCATTTTTTTCTTTGCTTGATAGCTCCACCCTTCTCATGAACTCTGCCACATCCTTGTTTGTCCACACCATCTGAGTGGCGTTCAGCATCCTGGATGAAGCACTACAGCTCTTTTCATGATCCTTAACTGATGGTGTTTTGGTGGAGCTGAAGGACAGCAGATCTTGGATCTTCTGATGGAGCGGGTGACGGGTATCTGCTGGTTTGCTGCCCTGCGCTCTTGTTTTCCCATACTCACCTGGCTGCCCAGGTATAACCTGACCTGGCTGAAGATGGACCTGATCGCGGGTCTGACGGTGGGTTTGACCGCGGTTCCTCAGGCTCTAGCCTACGCGGAAGTGGCCGGTTTACCTGTGCAGGTAAGAACATTCACGTTATTCCAGAGACTGAGACTGAGGAGGGTTTTCTTGACACAGTGTTTGTTTATTCGTTTTCCAGTATGGCCTGTATTCTGCATTCATGGGTGGTTTCATCTATTGTGTATTTGGGACATCTAAAGACATCACGCTGGGCCCGACCGCCATCATGTCCCTGCTGTGTTCGGCGTATATCGGTGGAGATCCTGTGTTTGCGGTGGTGCTCACACTGCTGTGCGGCGTAATCCAGGCAGGAATGGCTCTGCTGAGACTGGGTGAGATGGAAAATGGGCTTAAAGGGATAGTTCACCTAAAAATGAAAATTCTGTTGTTAATTACTCACCCTCATGTCGTTCCAAACCTGTAAGACCTTTGTTCATCTTCAGAACACAAATGAAGATATTTTTGATCGAATCCGAGAGCTTTCTGGCCCTGCATATGTTCAAGGCCTAGAAAGGTTACAAGGACATCATTAAAATAGTCCATGTGACATCAGTTGCATTGCTGCAGGGTCAGAAAGCTCTTGCATTTCATCAAAAATATCTTAATTTGTGTTCCGAAGATGAACGAAGGTCTTACGGGTTTGGAACGACATGAGGGTGAGTAATTAATGACAGAATTTTCATTTTTGGAAGAACTATCCCTTTGATGTCATTATTTAGGTCATATTTTTGCCCTATTTTGGTGTGGTTCATACAAAATTGAGGTAGATAGTCATCTTTATAGTCATTTTAATAATTTTTGTTTTAAATATTTATATATAGCTTTTAATTTGATTTCAGTTTTAGTAATTTTTTTCTAAGTAGTTTTAGTTAACAGTAGCAACACCAATTGTACTGAGTGTAAACTTTTAAACAGATCTTTTTTTGTGGATTGTACTATTAAAAACTATTATTTATTGACATTCTAAGTATATTTATACTCCGAAGTTTACATAAACTTTGACTGAAGTGTTGTCGCCAAGAAGAGAACATTGACTCGGCTGCCTGTAAATCAGGACCGTCTTGAAAACAGGAAGTTTGTGGTTTTTTCTGTCACATAACTATTAGATTCAATTACTTCCTGTGCAAACTTCCTGTACATGACTGTGAAGCCGCACACCAAAATGTAGCAACAGGTTTTAAAAATGTGACAACTGAGGCTGTGGAAGTGACTGAGTTAGATAAAAATAGACAAATATTTTCCTGAGAACGAACTTAGCTGTTTTAAAAAAAAAAATCAATAATAATAAACTAATATATAATTCGTACAAAAAAAGCTTAATTGAATATTTGCTAAATTGAATGTTTTCATAAATATTCATATAACCATTAATATTTAATATATAAAATATGTATAAATAATACTTATTATTAAGTTGGAGCAGTTTTTAAATGTTGTAGATTCATAATAAAATAAACATAGAAACAAATAAACAGAAAAAAAAGATTAATCCAAAAAGTGAATATATTTGTTTTCGAACTGATAATAAAATGTTAAATATTGTTTTTAATGTTGTTGTTACAACATTTTGAGCACTTTTTATGATGAAATGTGAATTCATAAATAAATTAAATAATAATCCAATTAATAATCCAAACAAGCTAAATTGAGCATTTGTGTTTTCAGAAATAATAATATATTCAATATTTTCTTTTATACATTTTAATAGTAATAATAAATATTATGATGATTATTATTATTATATGCACTTTTATGCATATATATATATATATATATATATATATATTTATATCTGTTTGTTCATTAGGTTTCCTCTTGGACTTCATCTCATATCCAGTAATTAAAGGCTTCACCTGTGCTGCTGCTGTCACCATCGGCTTCGGTCAGGTCAAGGTCAGAGTCTCACGCTAGAACAATCACTTACGCCTCTCGTCAATTCATTTGCATGATTCTTATATGTCCTTTAAGATCTGTGAAGAGTTGTGTCAATCCGCTTCGTTTGTGCAGAATATTCTGGGTCTGAAGGAGATCCCACAGCAGTTCTTCTTACAGGTTTACTACACCTTCCACAAGATCCCTGAGGCCAGGTGAGCACACACATATATGTCTGACCAATGAACAGCTGCTTCCTGTAGTGTTAAATCGTCTTGTCTAAGTGCGTATCTCAATCATCTGTGTTCTCAGAGCTGGAGATGTGATTCTGGGTCTGTGCTGTCTGTTCTTTCTGGTCATGTTGACGCTGATGAAGAATTCTCTGGGTTCGTCTGAAGACGAGGCTCCTCTCCTCATCCGGTCTACCCGCAGGCTGGTGTGGAGTTTAGCTACTAGTGAGTGCTCAAAAAACTCTTGTGAATCTGTAATGTAACCGACAGATGTTTATATACAATCTTCTTGTGTCGCAGTCCGGAATGCTCTGGTCATCATAGCAGCGACGGCTGTTGCGTATTCCGCTGAGGTCGCCGGACACCATTTCTTCAGTCTCACCGGGAAAACTGCCAAAGGACTGCCTCCTTTCAAAGCCCCGCCCCTTTCAGAGACTGTAGCCAATGGCACGGTGATTACTTTCAGCGACATCGCGAAGGTGAGTTTTTGATACAAATCTTTCATAGTTTTTGATGTCAAGGACCTCCATCAAAAAGAGCAGCCTCAAAATGCATTATTAATTTATTATTATTTTTTTATAATTTGTCAGTAGAGTGAGATAATCATGATTTTTGTTTGTTATAATATAAAAAATGCTATAATACAATTATATTTGTTATAAAAATGCTATAATACAATTATATTTGAATGCTATAATACAATTATATTTAATTTAAATTTATACTTAAGAATATAAATTATTTGAGGCAGTTAAAAACATTTAAAATGATATTGTGTATATATATATATATATATAGAATATATATAATAATTTAAATGTAAAATTTAAATATTAAAGATATTTAAATATTAATTAAATATAAATAAAACTTAAAATAATGTTTATGTGTATACTGTATAGAAAATGTATGGAAATAAAATTAAATACATTAAAATAGATCAAATAATACAAATAAATTGTAAATAGATTAGAATAATCATTATTATTCTATTGTTTGGAAAATAGTACCCAAAAATGTATTCTTCTTTCACAATTAAATGTGAAATTAAGTGTAATTTAAAAAATAAAATTTAGGTAAAATGATCTAAATATAAAGTCAGCTATATATTTTCTGTATATATAAACACATTTATATTGTGTAGGAAAAACTTAAATTATAAAAAGTATTATATTGTATTATAAAGACAAAATGTTCTTTCTATAAATATAAATGTAAGCTATTTTTAATATTTATGAAACTAATGTATATATTCTGTATACTATTAATAGAATAATAAAATATTTAATAATAATATATATGATAAAAATAGTAAATATTTTAAAAGTGCGCCCCCTTGTGGTACTTGGACCCCAGAAAATTGAGCTATCATGTAATACCACATTTCAGAATATTAAACTATAGTATTAGTAAAGTATATGTGACATTTGAGAGATTATAAGTAGCCAATCTAATAGAATAGTGAACATTACTGACCAATCAGGTGTATTTTCTCAGGATTTAGGCGGCGGTCTGGCTGTTATTCCTTTAATGGGCGTCTTAGAGAGCATCGCTATTGCGAAGGCTTTCGGTAAGAGCTTCAAAGTGTCCTTACTTTTGTATATACCAACACAGATGCTGTTTAGACACATTTAACACTTTTTTTCTCTCCATGCAGCCAGCAAGAATAACTACCGAATCGATGCTAACCAAGAGCTCTTTGCCATCGGTGAGAGATTCTCTTCTTTCACGATGTTTTATCAGAGTGTAAATCGGTCGTTTCTCATTATAATGTTGTTTTTGCAGGTCTCACGAACATCATGGGCTCGTTTGTGTCGGCGTATCCCGTCACGGGCAGCTTCGG